ATTTCTGTGTCCCAAAGTGAGAACAAGTTATAAAATAAATTTCTCTAGATCAGAATAATCTGTGCATGCTTGAGACACAAATGATTGTTGATCAGACAAGCCATTCTACTGACTTCATCGCCATACTACCAATAAATAACGTGCCATGATGATTTCCCAAGATTATTTTCCCAACCTGGAATTTGCCTTCCAATATCAGCACTCTATAGAAGGAAATTTTAGCACATCACTTCTATTTTATTCTTTTGTAAGCATCACACTTCAGCGGTAACTGTTGCTGCAGAAGCAAAACACAGTAATAAACACTCAAGGAAACCATTTAGCAATGTTCTTTCCTTGATTGCTTCCAAGAGTCTACTGCAATGGAGTCCTAATCACTGATTGGAGCATGCAGGTATTGGCACAGTCCAAGTAATTATTTCAAATTGGCCTCTGCTTGTCTAATATCCCACCTTCCAATTTTCCCAAAATAATTTTCAAACTTCATAACCAGACACAGTGTGGACTCCTCACACTCAGTTGTGCTGCTGATGACTTCAAGTATTGCACATTAACCTGTGCCACAACTACCTTTGTGCCACAGGTGTCCCCAAGCTTTATGTTTTCATTTATTTCATCTGGAATTTATCATCTCACAGCTTGACGATGATTTATTGTTGTGAGTTACAAAGGAACAGCCAAGAGGCTCCTGTACCAAGCACAGAAGTGGATCCAGGTTCCTGTTGCACTCAAAAGGACACTCTGAAAAGCCTAACTCTTAAAAGTAATTCTTTGGAAGCTGCTTTTCCTCTGCACATTACAAAAGTGCCACAGAATTTGCAAAGTGCAATAACCACTGCAGCCCTGATTAAAAACTGCATCCCACGTACCATAGACCAACATCAGATTAGGAGAAAGAATCCGTTTCTGCTGATTGATGAGAAAATAAATAGGAGTATAAACTAAAGGAGAAGCCAGGTTTTCTCCAAAAAAACTCCTGTCACCTTCTTAACACTTCCTATGTCAGAGATTTCTCTTGTGATGGGACTGGGAATGCAGAAAGGAGGTAGAATTTAATCTGGCTACTGCCATACAAGAAAATAATAAAGGTTTCTATAAATACATTAGCAAAGCAAGGAAGGGTAAAGAGAATCTCCATCCTCTATGGGATGCAAAAGGACACAGTGACAAAGCATGAGGAAAAGTCTGAGGGACTTAATGCTTTCCTTGCCTCAGTCTTTAAAAGTTGTTTTTAAAAGGGGGGAACAGGCACTACTATGCTTACAGGGCCCAAGTTCGTAAGTTGCTTCTTATCTGTTAGCCATTCTCTTTTTTTTTTTTTCTCCTGACAAGAGTTTTAAATAACTCTAACCAAGCATTTTATAAAGATCACACTGTCTGAGGCTTTAATGAAAAATATGAAGACTTAAACAGTAAATCTACAAGCATGACAAGAAGAGGAAAGAGGCAGATAAAACATGTTGGCTCAGCATGATCTGAAACCAATTAGAGAAAGACAGACTGCCAATGCTCTTTGAATTAAATTCTCCAAACTTGTTATCTTCTTGCTGTTCTCTTCTGATCAATAAATTCAAGCAATTCCATTAGTCTGTTAATTCACTTAATTAAATAATATTGAGCATTACTAACCATAATGAATGAGCTGTAATACAGCTCTGAATCCAAGAGTGCAATGAGATAGCACTTTGTCTGACTACATTTTTCACAACTCAGTTGTTTCATTAGAGATTTCAAACTCTACATTAGGTATGGAAACTCAGATACAAACAGCTATTTATTTAAATTCTTCCCTGATTAAAAAAAAAAAAATTGTAGTTGTTTAAAGGAGTAAAACCTTTCTAATTGCTGTGGTGTACTTTTATTTCCTCAGTGAACTCTAAAATGATCTTGCTGTTTGCACTGCACTCTCATACTCTTAAAAGGCTGTAAATTCCACAAAGGGCCAGAAGTGTACTGTGCCAGAATGTGATCAGTCATGGAGAGTTTGTACTGGCATCTAAGATGCATCATTCACACACACATTTATTCACACCTTGCTTGGTGAAGATTCTATAGAATTCATAAAGCAGCCAAAATTCTCTCTGCTTTTTTAGTGAAACTGCTACAAAAGGCTCAGTTCTTGTTAACAAAGGTATATTTATGAATATGCAAATGAGATTCTTGCCAGAATTACCAAATTCTTTCAAACTGACTGACCTGTTATTTCTACTTTTAAAAAGTCACATTTCAGTGTTTTTGTGATGAAAATATTCAGCATTTTCAGCATCATACTCTGTTTTATATAGACTTTATTACACAGATGTCAAAACCAGTTCAAAGCCCAAGTCAAATGTCCAGAAAACAATACTCTTAGAGGCCACATAAACTGGCAGGAGCTAACTGACATTAGACTCATAAATAGATAATAAATAGATTATTAAATAAATAAAATACATTAGATACACAAATAGATAATGCCCCTCAAAATACTTTTATACTGAGTAAGATCTAATTAATACTCTACAGGGTTCTTTGATGATGCTGAACTACTTTCTTTCATTTTATACATGCAAGCAAAAAGTTCCTTGGTTAGAATTATGTCTTTTATTCTACTGTTATTTCATTTATTTCCTTTATTTTTTTTTAAATTAACTTTAGCTCAGTCCTTTATAATATCATTTTACTCTATGAAAATTATAGAGCTCAGAGATGTAGAAACAAAAGGCAATGAAACTTCTCATCTCTTAAATGATAACAGCCATAACACTCATGTCTGAAGAAGAGGATAATATGGTAGAAGTATTAAAATTTTAGAACAAATGCGAAGAAAAACAGCTAATGACTTTTACAGGCACATGAACATGCAAAAATCAAGAGTATTAGAGCTGATACAGCAAAGACAAGGTCTCCTTTCACACTGCAGTCTCTGTGTGAACACAATGTCTTTTTGCTGGAGCAAGTCCACATTGAAGAAAATGTGAATTCCTCAGGGAGTTTTAAAGTATAATGATTTAAGTTAAGGCTTTAGAAAAGAGTCAAGTTGAAATTCATTAAAATATTTAATTGCATTCAAATCTGGCTCAGTGAGCCATGACCAAAAGTCATTAGAAACTGAAAGATGTTCAATAGCATATGTTGAAATTATCTTCTGAGTCGATTTCCTAATTAGATGTCAACATAAAAAGACATCATTGCAGCCAGTACCACTGTTGGCAAGTTCAACAGCCAGGGCAGAGACTAAATAAACATGGAAAATGTAACAATCTTTTTAGACAGGCATGATGGAGAGTGTTATGCCACACTAAGTTATTCTAGGAGTTCATTGACAAATTCAGTTCTCGCTCCTATTAGGAGAACTGAATTAAAGTATGGGGGAAGGTGACAATTTAACTGCACTCTGCAGTGCTGGAGTTTTTCCTGAATGATACTTTGCGTTCTTTCATAATTTTCAGTTATTGTTTGTTTTCCTTTTCAGATGGAAATCCTGATGTGAATTATAGAGCCGTTTGGAAATATTGAAACTTGAGCAAAGAAAACTACATAATTTTAGTTCTCTCATGTAAAACATACTGAGAATATCTCAGAAGGGTGCATTTAGTATTATCAAAATATGTATGTGAAAATCCAATAGGCTACCAATGAAAAATATCAGAATTTATGAAAATTTTTCACAAAGAGTACAAGAGGCACAGGCCACCTCTCTTACAGATGACAAATTGAATACTTATACAACAACATATAAACTGCTGGGCAGTGTTTATTTAGCCTGTACTGCATCTCTAACAATTGTCAGCGGTGGATCTTTCAAACACAGTATTGAAATCCACAAAACGTTGGTTTATTATGAAATACTTTTCCTGCTCTGATCTGGAGCCAAATTTTTGTTCTCTTGCCCTCATTAAACTGAACTTGCTTCAACATGGTCCCCTTTAAGTCAGTGGGTCCTCTTGTGACATGAGGCACTATTAGAAATGGCACTGATTATTCACCTCTGCCCCGAAATATTAGGAAGTCAACAGAAATTTGTATTTTTATCAGTTTGTCAGACATTACTGAAGATGTTGGGGGGAGGGAAAAAAAGGAAAATGAAAACAGGACAATTCCTTGCTCTTCCCACCAAAGACACACACCAGTTGGAATGGAATAAGCAGGCAGAGAAGAAACTCAGTCAACACAGTTCTGTGTTCAGATGCATGGTGCTGGCAAGATGAAAAACACAGTGTTCAAAAAAGGCAGGATGCCTGCTCACATGGGACACAACCACTGGTTAGTTTTACTGGGAATAGAAGACAGAAGACATCCCTTCTGTACAGAGGGTGCCAGAGGGACAAAATATGACCCAAAAGAGCACTGTTGGAATCTGTAGTTGCAAAACATGTTTTTCTTTTGAGTGAAAAAATTATGTGACTTTTAGAGAATATTTTCTTCTGCACAAAATTTTTAAAGCTTTGCCAGCATTAAGACTGTAATCTAGTCTTCTGTCTGCAGTATACAAATACCTATCTGGAGCTGGGGAGTTGTCAGATGCCCTTCTCACCCATCATCCCTCTCTCCTTTCAACTGATCTCTGGCACAAAGTGACAGTCTCTGTCACAGAGATAGACCCTTACATACTCAGTTCTTTTCCTCTGAAAATATCCATATAAAATTCCCACTTTTAAGATTCTCTACAAATAAATTATTCCCTAGCTCTGCCACGAACATCAGAAAGGTTTTGTGCACCAAAAGCTATACAATTCAAATAAGAAAATAAGAAATAAGAAATAAAAGGAAGTTAACATACAACTGTATGGATAACTGTCTGCTTCCCCAGATCAAGTATGTTGAGTTATAAGCAGAAGAATTTGGCTTTTTTGGTCCATTCTACAAATCTCATCCTGAATCTACACTTGCCCCAAGTGCCAAAGTGTTATGTGCACAAGTCCTGCAATTCTCAAGTACAGAAGAAATTTTCAGCGTAGGAAGAACCATCAGCAGACCTGTGACTAAAGGGAGCCTGAGCTGAGCCAGACTTTACTCACCACAGTCAAATGCTGCAGCAAATATGCCACATCAACCATGTCAGCCAGAATGAGCAGCCTGGTGACCGCTGCGAGCAGGGAGCGCGCTGCCTGGACCACGGCCTGCCTGCGGGGTAGGGAGCAGGGATCGCTGGTGAACGCCTCTGCTGACACCTTCAAGGCTTGACCTGCAAGATGAACACATACTTAGGCTGCGTTGCAACTCCCGGAGGGAAGAAATCGTTAAAGCTCCATCAATTAGCTGGCAAGTCACTCGGCATCTCTTTGCTGCCCTAACGCCTTGAAATAAAGGCCAAGTATTACAGATCATGCAGAATGTTCCACATTTTGAATGATGTTCCCTTTCTGTTCTACTGAATCACTTAATTCTGAAATAATTCCCTTGGCCTTCACACTACTACTCTGAACTGCACAGAGCAAAGCCAGGGGCACTATGTTAAACTTCTCCAGTCACTGCTTGTTATATTACTCTGTACTTTGGTGTCCTTGCTATTAAATAATTCCTGGTCACAGAAGAGAATCAAATATTGCTCTCCTCCTCCCAAATATAAGTTCATGGAATGAAAACTTCATAGACTCAAACATCTGACTGACATGAAATACATGAAATCTATGCCATGCAGTACTGACTGTGCCAGTAGACAGCAATACACTGCTCCCCAACACGAAGTTTACCAAATTAAATTTAACAACAACAACAACAACCCAACTTTAATAAATACATTCACACTTTGCTCAGTCACGCGTTGGCCTCAGCTATCATTAGCCACTATGCCATAGCCAACAATCCACTATTACTGACTCTGAATAGCCAGCCAGGAGTGTTTCTGTGCACAATAAAAACAGTCCAAACAAAGCTGACTAGGAAAGCAGAGCTGCATATTGGAAAGGAACTGTTTAATTAGGAAGGAGTGAAAGTGCTCAGTTGTGAGAAGCCCAAACTGGAGTGAACAGGGAGCCTGTGAGTTAGCAACTGAACAGATCAGGAAAGAAGTGAGATACAGCTCAGCTGAGGACAGGAGACATTGCTATTGCCAGGGATATTTAATAAAAGTCGGGGACAAAAAAAGATAGTCTTCTGACAGCACAGTGGCTCCTCAGAAATCTCTAATGTAATGTTTTCTCCTTCTCACAAACACGAAGCTGAAGTACATCTTCTCAGGCCACACATGCGATTATTTGCCCAGGTCTCTGCTACTGTGCCTTCCAGAAGACAATGGCTGTGTGGATTTGCGTGTCTCTCAAGCACCTGAGACACTTCAAAACTGCAAATAGTCCCAAAATCTGAAAATAGACAGATACCTCTAGCCACAAAGATGATTAAGGGACCAGAGCACCTGTCATAGGAAGGAAGGCTGAGAGAGCTGGGACTGTTCAGGATAGAGAAAACTCAGAGGGATCTCAGCAGGATGCATAAACACCTGAGGGAAGGGGGAAAAGAAGATGGAGCCAGACTGTTCTCAGTGGTGCTCAGTGACACTTGCTCAGGGCAAGAGGCAATGAGCACAAACTGACACACAGGAGAGATTCCATCTAAACATCAGAAAATGTTTTTTCACTCTGAGAGTGACTCAGCAGGGGCATAGGAAGGTTGTGCAGTCTCCATCCTGGGAGATATTCAAAACCTGACTGGGTATGGTCCTAGGCAGGCTGCTGGCCCTGCCTGAGCCAGGGCATTGGACCACAAGACCTCCAGAGGGCCCTTCCACCCTCAACTATCCGTGATTCTGTGAGCAAAGACAAAACCAGAAGGGTCTAAATACGACCAATCCCTTAGAAATGAGTTGGACATAAACTGGGATGGCCAGATGAGCAAGTATAAAATCACAACCCTAAACAGAGCTATGAGATGCAGGCTAGACAGATAGGAGCTAGAAGTGCAAGCAGCAGAAAATGACAGCTCCAACAACATGTTGAGAACTTTCTTAAAACACAGTAAGCAGCATGACAGTCTGATGCAATGTCATCCATTTTTATTGTAATTCCCATCAAGTGAATATTATTCCATAATTACACTTGTCACAAACAACAAAACACAAAAAATGCCCTTTTAGTGGCACAAATAGAAAATGGGAAAGATGGCACTATTCATAGTATTTCAGCTATTTTAGACAATCAAATGAAAAGCAATTCAAAGAATCAAAGACAGGATATATCATAACTCCAAAATTATTGGCAGGCAGATATTTCCAAGACTCTATTCAGCACACACACACACAGCTGACTTCCAAAGTAAATGGTGTTCTACCATTAGCTAATCAGCTACTGACAACCACTGCTGTGTCAAATGACTGCTACTTACATGCATGCTCACAAAAATCTCTGCTCAGGCCCAAGGGAAGGTAAAAATCATGGTTCAGCCACAGGTAATTTTTAAAACATTTGGAGGACTCATGAACTTTATCCATATCCGGGGTTCCACAAAAATTCTGGTATCAGCCTTTCCTTCTCTCTCTTCTCCAAATATGCCTCTTTGGGATTTTGGTGTTTTGTCTTCTTCAAAGAGAGTGAACTGCTAATGATTAATGACTCAAACACTGGACACCTGCAGTAACTGCCCAGGTGCTTGTAAGAGACTGGACTGGTGCTGCTAATGGCTCAATCAGCCCCGTGCTTTGCTAACCAGTGCAGAGTGGCCACCCAGGCCAGGAGCTGAAGGCCTGCTCATCCAACACCTCAGGCTACAAGCTGGGTGTTAAATAAGATAAGGAAAGCTGCAAACTTGGACTTGATGATCTCAGAAGTCTTTCCCAACCCGGTTGATTCTGTGAAACTCTGTGAGGTGGGGTAGTGCTTCTTTTTCCTTACACAGATGGCTCAGCTGTGATAACTCCCCAGAACATTCACACCTGGTCTGAAGGGACTCATCTCTTGTTGATAAGCCATAATCAGGCAAAATGGACTCAGCTGCACTGAAGTACAAACCAGCTGCAACATCTTAGAAGGTGTCAAAGCCTCCTGAAGTATCCCTGACTCACAGTATTACATTATCCAGCGTAAAACTCCCCAGCCCAGGGGAGGTACTGGAGATCATAGAATCACAGAATTAACTAGGTTGGAAGAGACCTCTGAGATCATCGAGTTCAACCCTTGATCCAACCCCACTGTGATTACCAGATCATGGCACTCAGTGCCACATCCAGCCTCATCTTAAAAACCTCCAGGGACGGTGAATCCACCACCTCTCTGAGAAGGCCATTCCTATGCCTGATCACTCTCTCTGTACAGAACTTCCTTCTAATACCCAACCTAAACCTCCCCTGGCAGAGCTTAAGCCCATGCCCTCTCGTCAGATGTTCCCACCTGAACCTGAGTAAGTGTAACTCTGAGGTTTTGGCTTCCCTGCCCACCCAGGGCTTCCACACCACCGTGATGGATCTGGCCCATGAGCACCACTTTAGGCAAAGAACATGGAAACTGCAACAACCACGTTTCATCACTGGATCCAACGGGTATCTTGGGGGTCCTTCCAGTCACCGGGGTGTTCCTAGCCTGGTTCCGACTCCTGTCCCAGTTTCTCCTTATCGATTGGTTTAACCCAGTTTTATCAGTATTGTTATCAGCATTCTTCTTGGTGAAGAGTTATTGTTTCACTAACAACCAGGCCTACTTGGTGTCCCCAATACTCTGTATTGGAGAAACAGGGGTTATTACATCCAAGAGAGGAGATTTCTGCCTGAGGTCTCCGCCAACTCCAAATTACCTCAAACCAAGACAATCCAGCACCAAAAGCATCCAAAAACTTCCAGGAAAATTCCTTTCAAAACAAGTCAACCGTAGTCCTGTTGGCTATCAGGTGACGACAGCCTGCGCTGGCTGCCAGCCGATGGCAGGCGTTGTGTCTGTGCTGAGACTGCAGCCACACCATCTGCAGGCAGTGAGCACCCTCAGACACTGTTCAACATCATGCTCACAGCAGCCACATGCTCTTGGTTTAGGCAAGATCAACAGAATTATGCTTTCTTATTTCTTTGAATAGATTGTCTTTTTTGTGCTAAATCTAACCACATTACTCCCTCGTCTATTTGCATTTACAACTGGCTTTCTCCTCTCATTTGTTTTTTTTATTTTTAGCTGCAGCAGTGTGAAATCCATGTGGAATGCAGTGAATTTTATGCCATTCCTGTGTCCTCCCACAAGGAGGTATTGTTGCCAAGTCCTGTCACCCACTCCTGTGAACTGTACCATTAGAGGCTGGTGGATTTACAGTTCCAGGGAAACACAGTTGTCAAAAGGAGCTCATTTACTAAGGCAGGGAGGGAGGGACATACCAGTCAGTAAAAAGAGAGTATTTAAACATCCTAGTCTCAAATTTCTGAGTGGAAAAAAAAATACAAACAAACAAGAAAAAAAAACCCACAATGGTTTATAATACAAAATCCCAGAATGGTTTGGATTGGAAGGGACCTTAAAAAGATCATCTAATTCCAACTCTCCTAACACAGACAGGGACACCTTCCATTAGACCAGGTTGCTCCAAGACCCATCCAACCTGGCCTTGAACACTTCCAGGGATGGGGCAGCCACAGCCTGTACCAGTGCCTCACCATCTTTAGAGTGAAGAATTTCTTCCTTACATCTCAGCTAAATCACCCTCTTTCAGTTTAAAGCTTTTCCCCCTTGACAAAAGTCCCTTCCCAGCTCTCTTGAAGGTCCCCTTTAGGTTCTGAAAGGCTGCAATAAGGTCTCCCCAGAGCCTTCTCTTCTCCGAGGTGAACAACCTCATCTCTCTTAGTCTGTCTTAACAGGAGGTGCTCCATCCCTCTGGTCATCTTTGTGACCTTCTCTGGACTGGCTCCAACAGGTCCATGTCCTTCTTATGCTGGGGGCCCCAGAGCTGAATACAGTATTCCAGGTGGGGTCTCACCACCTGGTTAATGGAACACTTACTAACTGTGGTAACTCAGATCCCCACAACAGCTTTCTGTAGATGTTACAGGACATTTCTGTCCTGCCACAGTCTTACCCCACTCAGACATCACTGTATTCTGTTGCACTGCAATTATTTCACAGCTGCATACCAGGAAGTTCCACTTCCACATCTTCATAATGTGTAATCAGAGCCACCACACCCCCCCATCATGCCTCGCATGCACCTCTTCATTCCCCCTTTCCCACTCAGGGACACCTGATCCAGTGATGGTGACGTCAGAAGCTTTTCTACAAGGCATCTGTTCTTGATTCGATGAAAAGCATGTACAGCACAGGTTATTTTCAGCCATTTGAATATCTAAGTTCTGTCTCACAGAATTAAAGCCCCTTAGGTGCAGAACACACACATGTACCTCTTAATGTGGGATAAGTTCACTTTTAAGACGAGGGGAGGGACAAATAAGAATATAATACAAAATATTACTTTACCCTTCCTTTAGTAAACGCCCTTAAACTCCCCACTTCTTGTCAGTGAACAGTAGTTCCTTCCATGCCATAAAACTCCTGCCTCCCCTGTTTAAAGCAAAAGACTTTAAAGATGGACATTCAAAATATCAAAGTATTTTTTTTATAATTTCCTTTAAAGAGCTGAAGGCTCACAAAATGTAACTCCAGCCAGTAACTTGCTTTCAGTTCACTGCTATGTATGATGAAAGGCTTATCTAGGAACGCACTTGAGTGTGGTAACAGCTAAAGGCAAGAAGCACTGGCATTGCAATAGATAGAAACAACGCAGACAACAACTGTTGTGTTTCTGACTATATATAGTCAGTAAGCAATGGCATTTCAGCTATGCCCAGGCAACTGCTTGAAAACTATACACCATCACACCTTCACAGAAATGCAAAAAATCATTATCCTGCGTAGGATGCTAGACTAAGTCAGATTTCCGAGACAACGTTTCAGTACACAAACTACACCATTGTTTTGTCTTAAAAGTGATTAAATCTCAGAATCAGGACACTCATTAGAAGCTGATGTTCAGTGTCAGAAGCATTCATGGTTGAACAATGCTTCTCCCCCCCTTTGCACTGGGATCACTTATTTCACAGTACATTGAATCAGAAGGGAATCTTTTGAAATTCTCTATACATAGAAAATCTGCCAGTGGGAATTTTTAAATATACTTATCTTGGGGTTTATCACACTATTTTAGAATAAAAATGTGAACATGAGTACCCTTTAACAAAGCTTCACCCAACCAGTTCAACAGGAAAACATGGCAGTTCTTCAGTTACCAGGCTAGTGGATTTCTGAGTGATGCACATAGTCCACCACCCACACGCCTTCCTGCTGACCCACTTAGCTGCTGAGTTCCAGAAGGTGGCTGAATCAAGATGGAGATAGAGATAGGCCTGAAAAGTAGTTTCTTGACAGGAAACAAAGAAAAATGCAGATGACCTCTGTATTAAAATGATCAGCTCAAAGACTTCAGTAAGTCTTTGCAGACGTCAAGGAAGCAGACACGAGATTTCTTCAGGTTACATTCGTCTGCCATTCATTACAGCAACACCTTCTTTCAGAGGTCACTAACAGAATCTGAGTTTCCAAAATCTCATCTACTGAGTGTCAAGACCAAACTGTGGTCAGTGAAGCCATACACACGTACCAGTTTCTGAAGGCCACGAATCACTTGTGCATCAAATGAGTTAAATACAACAAATCATATCACTGCTGTTCATTTTTATCCTACTAATTTGCTCCTTTATTTTCCAAAACATTACAATGTACAGGATTATCAGAAGCAGCTTAAAAATAGTCTATCACTCCCTTAAAAGGAACCTCTATCAATGAGCACCAGAAGTAACAAAGCAGCATTTTCACATTGGTGGTTGACACTCAAAAGAAGTAAGGTTTCAGTTTTCATGTTGCATCCTCAACTCACCAAGTTCAGTGAGTCACACAAGCTAAAACTCAAGAGGAGGGGAGACAGGATTTATTCTTTCCAGATATCGGTGTGAGACTCTGGGACGGATTCACAAGGGAGTGAAATTATCTACAGCAATGTTTCAGGATTCCATTATACAGTAAATATAAGCTGGAACCACAGGCGGAAACTCCTCATTTATTTAAAATCGTATTAATAAATATACCTGCCAATCACCACAGAAAAGTAAGCCCCCAGAAAATTAAATACTATATCTATGACATGCATGGCAGGTGACTGCATGCAACCACATGCATGCAACAGTTGATGACCCACTTCCTTTCAAAGAACCCGAAGCAAATAGCAGGAGACATTTAACAGCAGCAGAATGTGCCTTGAATAACAGACAATGAAGTTGCATATGATGAGGCACACCACAAATTAAAAATAACACGCAGCTTCAAAGGCTAAAAATATCTGCAAAATTAATAAACTGCTATATTTTTTTACAGTTGTTCAACAATTTCCTAAAGTTGACTGATGCAGTTTGGCAAATCCTTAGAGAGAGATGGGTTGTGAACACTCAATTTGTCATTGCATAATGACAGGTGATAACACGGACTTACCATTCTTTTAAAATGTATGAGGTGTATATAATCTACTTTATGTATTATTTATTTTTGTATTTATCTCTGGTCTTGGTTGAGAATCAATAAGCAATATAAAAATATTTCACATTTTTAAATTTATCTATGTATAAAAATCAATACAAAGCTATATATTGTATTCTTGCCTTGTGTTATCATCCTGTAATGGATGGGCTAACATTTTAAGATTACTCCAAAGTGACTGATTTTTCAAGAACCTCAGCTGATCAGTGTGACAGATAACAGTGACACATGCTGGTCATAATGCTTTTAATCACAAAGGACCTTAAGGTATCTCAGACACCACATGCATATATCAAACTCTAAACCACAGCCATCTCTGGAGCCAGTAATCACTACCCTGAACAACAGCACAGACTTAGAAACCACCCTAGCTGGAGGAAAGACTAAATGAAATTATATAAATTTAAAAAATAAACTGATTAAATCACATCGTTAGTGAGAGCAGGGTGACAGAATTTAAACATGCATGAACTTGAACTTGTGATTTCTGCAGGAACACATTTAGGATGTTGATTATCTGACTTATTTGAGCCTGGCCTTCACATTCTCCCAAATATTCCGAGCATTCATGGGGAAAGTAAAAATCAATAAAGCAAGAAAGAGTCTGAGAAAATTCTCAGCAGATCACAAAAACTAGTCCTGTTCTGTGAATCTCACTGGAAATGGGAAGATAGGACATGACAAAATGGGATATGGTAAAAGCCACCAAAGAGGAGCTGCTCGATCACTAGGGGATGACCCTTGCAGTAGGCTAAAGAATCCATCTCCCCTTGCTGAGGTCTCAAAACACACCTCCCAACAGGACTATTACACTTTGCCAAAGGAAATCCTCACTGCTGCACAAAAGAAGAAAGATTTTCAGGTTTAGTTTTTTCACTAAAAGGCCTTAATGCCAGATTTGGGTGATCAGCTCTTTGCAAGAAGAGCATTAAAGCATACATTAACTTAAACTTGTGCTTAACAGCCACTAAAATTGCCAGAGGGCATCCTGTCTTCATTGGAAAAAAAATTCCAACAACATAACTTCCACTGATACAAATGTTTTTCCACAGTGGGGCCCACCTTGCACACTTTACCTCATTATAAGTGGTATCTGAGAATATACAATTAGACAACACAAAATTCAGACATTTGCACATCAAAACATGTTTCCCATGGATATCCTACCCACACTTTGACACCACTGTTACCTGGTTAAACTAATTCTTTGTGGGGCCTACAATGTTTATCACATACTTACTCTCTTTCCTGACATCAGCAAGAGCTGCATGAAGTTCCTCTTTAAACACAGCTGCTTCCTTGGCAATTTTTTCTCCCTTGTCCAACAGATTCCAGGTGGCTTCTTCCACAGAAGCCAGCAAGACACGAGCTTTTTTGGAACGGCCCTTTTTCTTACTAGAAGGATTCTGTGGACAATTCACGAGTGTTGTAACCTACAGTTAAGAGAAACAAAAAACACAATAATGGTGTCAGTTCTACAATAGGTGAATTTCTATTGTTCTCAAATTAAAAAAAAAAAAATATATATAGTTGAGAATAAGTAAATAGATTCCCTCTGCTTTAGAGACAGGCAAGTTCAGCACACATACTGAGAATGGGCAAAATCACTGAATTAAATCTGACAGAGAATTTCACTCAATATGCCTCATCTTTGTGTTCTTTCTGTATGACCAAAGCAAAGTCAATAGAAATCTCATATCTCTCATCTCATCTAGTAGAAATCTCTGGTGCCAACTCCTGACACTGCTTATTTTAAAATTTGTTCATAATAATCAAAAGAAATTACTAGTGCTATCCAAGGAAGCTTCAGCAAGGAATCATTAAGGTTGGAAAAGACCTGCAAAATCAGAGTCTAACCATAAAGCTAACATTGCCAAGTCCATCACTAAATCATGTTCCTAAGCACCACATTCCCATGTTTTTTTAATACTTCAAGGGATAGTGACCCCACCACTTCCCCTGGCAGCCTGTTCCAATGCTTGACGCTCTTTTCAGGGACAGAATTTTTCTTAATTTCCAGTCTAAACCTCCCTTGGTGAAACTTGAGGCCATTTCTTTCTATCACTTGTTATCTGGGAGAAGAGACCAACCTCCACCTGGTCACAACCTCCTTTCAGGGATTTGAGAGCGATAATGTCCCCCTGAGCCTCCTTTTCTCCAGGCTGAACGCTTCCAGCTCCCTCAGCTGCTCCTCAGCTGTGCTCCAGACCCTTCCCCAGATCCATTGCCCTTCTCTGGACACTCTCCAGCACCTCAGTGTCTTACTTGCAGTGAGAGGCCCAAAACTGAACACAGTATTGAAGGTGTGGCCTCACCAGTGCACAGTCACTGCCCTGGTCCTGTGGCCACACTATTTCTGATCCAGGCCAGGATCCCAGTGACCTTCTTGGCCACCTGGGCACATGCTAGCTTACGTTCAGCTGCTGTCCAACAGCACTCCCAGGTCCTTTTCCCCCTAAAGTGCTGAATCTTCCCATATTTCTAGCTTAAGGACTCCCAAGGTACCTCAGAAACAAATTCTCAAAATGAGTACAGACACCTTTCCAAACACCTTTTCCTCTTACAAGGGAGTATCACAGCGGCCAGAGCTCAGCACCTCTGAAGTCGCTGGTATGCTCTCAATGTTAAAATTGTACATAATTTTGCCCAGAATGTAGTTATACTGCAGTTTTGTCCAAATTATAGTTTTTAACAGGGCACTTCAACATCCATAAAGAACTTATTTTCATAGAGCATCCCACTCCACATTCCTCATCATCTGAGCACAGCCTCCACACTCCAACAGAATGTTTCTGAAACACTATTCTCTAAAGGCATTGCTTGAGCTGTCACACTGCAGAAAGACTCCTAAAAAAATTTTTTTTCAAGTGTTATATAAATATTTTAAAACATATTTTATTTTCACTAAGTTCACTGATGTTTTTTAATCCTCCTGTTCTGTCTCTGTGCTGAAGCATGGATAGTATAATATTAAGTACAGATCTAACCCTGGAGCTCCATGAACACATTTCATACATATGTAATTGCTTCATTTTATTAATGGCATTCCAATCAGCAGCAATATTGCATGTGCAAAGCAAGAGAATTGCCTATGAATTTCTTGGGCCAGCAGGCAAACTCAGCTAAGTGCTGCAGTGCAGTGCAGTTTGAGCTGGTCTGTGAAGGAGGCTCCATGCACAGGTACAAAACAAGGGTGCTATCTGTGCCTTAGCTCACCTTTAGATCTCACCCATGAATTCATGCCCTTGAGTGCTTTTCATGAATCAGTACTTTTAAAAGTAACTGACAAATATCCTCTGGGAAACATTTCTATAAACACGCCTTTGAAAGGTAAAAGCCCTGGTCCCTCTATCATCCATGTGAAATCAGGGGAGAAAAAGTCCCATCCACTTGACATAGACTGCTCTGGCAGATCCCAAGGGAGACAGCAACATAAATAACTCTGGCTCAGATTGGTAGAGAGGGCTCATGTATTATTCTGACTGTGGCTCAAAGGAAGAAAATGAAATTATTTATTGCACATAAATCAGCCAGCTGGTAAGAGAATGCAATGGGAATAAGAATCATTCTACCTTTTATTTTAACAAACCATCTAACATCAGTTCTACAGCATTTAATGCAGTTTCAATGGTCATATTTTTAAGAATGAGTCAAAGAGATTATAGGCTGATACTTCCAACAAGAAAGGCATAAAACACCACCAAAAATTACAAGCTGCCCCAAAAATCTATCAAGCAAAAGACATTTTCTATGTGTTTCAAGTATTTAATCACATTTCCCAGAAAATAATGTATTCTATTTCTCAGATTTTTACTGTATCATTTTTTATGTAAAATGTCGTTCTATGCACTGTTCGTTCATAAGCTGAGGAGGAAAGGAAATAAAACAAATGGAAAAGAATGAAAAAATAACCATTCCTGCAGGTGAACACCCTTGACTATGAGACCCTTCATCTTCAGCATCACTATGAGGAAATATCAGAGGCAGCTTCTGATCTCAAACACAAGTCAAAATTTGATAGACAGTTCTTTGTTCAGGGAGATGTGGAAAACAGAAAAACTCCTCTGCATTCTCTAACACAGAATCCCAATGAGGAATGCAAAAACTTGATGCAGATCCCACAAAGAAAGAATTGAACCACACAGAAGCTCCCATAGTGTGCCATTGTCAACACAGCTTGCACTGTAGTGGCAGAATACACAGTCAAAATGATATCATTATAAGAGAAAAGGAAAACACTAATCCTGCTCATGCATGACTACATTTCTCTGTCCACTACTTACAATATGAAACTTTTCCTGCACTGGAAATCCATTTGCAGTGCATTCTACATTTAGACATCTCCTAGATAACACTAGAGCCCAGCTAGAATATGCAACATTTACTATGATACACTGTGTGGCAAAAATGGAAGTGACTAAACAAGTGACTGAAGGCAGATCCCCCTGGACACTCTCTGAGCCAGAGTAAACTACAAGTGCAGAGGAGCTGTGTGTGTGTTTTTCATAATAATGTCCATAGTCAAAATCTTCAGCCTTCCTCCCCTCCTTGCTATTTTTTGCAATCCTAAAATACCTGAATTATCAGTGGTTCCAGTAATTTCTCCACAGTAAATGTCTGGATCTGCAGATCCCGAGGATCAATTTTCAGCTTAATGTTTGGCATTTTGGTTGACATTGCACCTAGGTACAAAACAACAAAAAAAAGTGCAATAAGTAATTATTAACCATGACTGCAAGTCTCGTTGTCCTCTGTCAGAGCAGAGAGACTGCCTATGTGAATATGGATTTGTTTCATAACAGCCTTAGGATTTCAAGAAAAAAAAATCATAATAAACACCTTAAACATAAAAACATAGAGCAGACCTTAAAGCTGCTGGAAATTAATAGCAGGAGAAAGTGAAACATTTTGGTTTTTTACAACATGCAATAGCAAACCTTTTCTAAGTGTCAAGATAGATTAAGTCAAGAAAGCCTATTACTGAAGTCAATAAGATGGAAGTAAAGCTAAGTAAGGTCTTTAAAGTGAATAAATCATTCATTAGGAACTTGATCCAAAGTCTACTGATGTTAATTTAAAGGTTCTTACCAAGTTCACTGGGCCATGGTTCAGGCCATTAGTCTGAAATGTGTGTGTACCACCAGAGAATAATAACTGTACTTTAGCTGGAATGCAACTGATTATTTTCCCAAAATAAAAAAGACATTTAAATTTTGCAGTAATTTAACATTCCATAAAACATAGCTCAGCAAAGCTTTTTTAGCCAATAAAGACTTCAAACACACAAATAACGGATATCTGTCATTTTTAAGCAAGACTTATTACAACCACTGCTGCCGTATAATAAACTAATAAAGCACTCCAATTGTGCAGGCTAAAGAGATATATTGTCACCTTCCAGTGAACCTAGCATTGATTTAATACAACACAATAGGTTTAGGGTTTCTATAGCGAGTTGTGTAGAAAGGGATGGGAAGAGTTATTCACATTTCACTTACAAGCAAAGATAGTATCAACAATACTTAAAGAGCTACAGTTAAAAGCAATTTAGGGGTTTGCCATTCTTAGTAAAGGTCACAAAAGTGCCAAGTTTATTCTTTTGTTACAAGCTGCACTAGTGGCAAACTTAAGTTCCCATAGATTCAGCTGCATCCAGCCAGGTGATATCATATGTAGAGAATTGACTTTTCCATTTTAATTCCAAGCCAAAAGAAGAAGAGAAGAGAAGCTTGAGATCAGACTTTTCCTTCCACGGAAATGAATAATGGAAAGAGAACTCCCAAAATATCAAAGCAAATTATATAGATGGATTTTTATACATTCAACATTTAGATACTTGTAACAAACCCCAATGAGATAAAATCTGAGACTCTCAAAATCACCAGTGTCAGCGGTTCTCTTTCTGTCAATAAATCAGTAGGTAGGATAGCTGAAGAGACTGGTGATTAGGCATGCTCTCAGCAGGCAAAATATTTTGTTTCCAGAATTTTAGACCACTAGAGACAGGAGACATCAAAAACCAACGAGCACCAACAAGCATATTCAACACATCCTACTGAACCACATTAACAGTCCATCCAGCCCAGCACGTGTGCCGTGGGTCGGGCTGTGGCTTCTTGGCAATACACTGTAATATGCAACAAAGCAAGATATAAGGCAGGCTCTCCCCATCTACTGCTCAGTGCAACAATTGCTTTAAGACAGATTTAGAATCACTCAGAGCGCTTCATACAGCTACACTTGGGACACCATGGAAGTGCAACACCTCCTGCCTTCTTTACATCATGTACATAAGCTTGGTGTGCTGAGCTTTGCAACAAGGGCTCATTCTTACAGCTCAGGCCAAAGATATGCCCCTCTGTACTCACACAAGCATGAATTTTTAAAAAAAAAGTTTTATTTTATCTATAATGATTCTTACTGTTAAGACCCATTGGTTCTTTATGCTTGGAAACTAAAAACAAAAGCAAAACCAACTTCTCAATTGTAAAATTCTTTGGAAATACTCTAAATACATAATGATGTGAAGTCTGTAAACCCCAATAGCAAGAGGTCTAGTACAAGATGCACTCTCAAAGGACTAACTATTAATTGCATCATTTCATTGAACAATGAATATTCAGAAAGATTCCATGCCTGCAAAGTAGATTAAAATTCTAGACAGATATAATTATTTGTAGCAACATTTGCTATACTAGCAAGGGAGGCATGAGTAACCTGGAAGCCAGGTTCCCACCAACACTCAGACCTCCAAACAATCATTGGAATTAAAGATAGCAAATATTAGCAACTTGTTAAAGTAAGCTCTCCCCTACAGTACTAATAACTTGTTCTGAAAGCCATAAATGTCTCTCATTCACATCCTTGCTCTCCTCAGCTTCAGTTCCAAACTGCACTGGTATTTATTTGCCTCTCCCCTAACAGAACAACGAGTGCACCTTGGATTGTCCTGCACTGCTGGCAAATTCTGGGTCATGTCTGTGCCCACATTTCAAACTGCCTTTTATTCACATTAGAAAAAAAAAAAAGTCTTTATGATATTGCTGGTTACCAAGCCTTATCTTCGACATTTTCAGGAGCCTCCCAGTACACAGACACTTCTTGAAATCCATCACAACAGTTGTAAATAGATAGTATTGATTGTGCTGTGAACTTTCATTTATCAGTTGCAAGGGAACAGGTATGAACTGGTTGGAGACAGTACTTCATGCTTCTACTGAGATCTGAAGAAATTACTAGATGATTTTCAGGCTAGTTTTTCTGCAGATGCACTCATGCTTTAACTTTGCACTGGTTTCCTCTCAATTCCTTGATAGAAGGGTGTTGGCAACTGCTCTACTCAAAATTCAGAAATAAAATCTTTGCTGCTTGCAGCAGAGCTGCTCTCCGTTCTCACAGCACAACTTCCCATGCTACAGGTCATCTACAACGATCAGATCTTCTATAAAATTTGGCAGATAAAAATATAGTTGCAGTTACAGCCAATTCCTCTTACTAGAGATCACTGTGCAACAGAATACCTCCCCTGAGCAGCCTCAAACTTGGAAAGTGTTACAAATCCAACCCCATTTCTGCAGGTCAGAAAAATGTGAATCCACGTGCCATGACTTTTCCTTTTCTGGGTTGTTCTGGGGTTTTGTTTGTTTGCCTGTTTTTGAACCTCAGCATATTGTCAAACATCAGCATTTTTATTCTGTGCTTCAACCCTGAGTTCAAAAGCCAGCTGAGCCAATAATAGCTTTCAGCCTTGAGTCAGGCCCATAACTCACCATTAACTGAAAGTCAATTGCAAAAACTATTGTCTCTGAGAATTTCAATTATATTCTAAGGTATAAATAACTCACTTAAGGGCTCACTTGCTGATTCCAGTCTTTTTTTTTTTAAGTAAAATTTTAATGCTTCCTGAAACTTCCTTAGAGAAGCCAAAA